AGAGCCCAGGTGCTCACCAATGGCCTGGGCTTGGGTGAGGTCCACAGGCACTGAATGGAGAGGCTCAGCACCCCACAGCCAGCTGCAGCCAGAATAGCTCTTCCAGCTGTTTTACATATGGTAGTGGGTTTCTGCATAATGTTTAATTTAAAGCAAAGTTTCCATTGCTTTACAAAAAAAGTATGAAAACTTTTACCATGAGAATGACACCTGAGTTAAATTTAGAATACAGAAGAATCACTCATTCTTTTTAACCTGAACAGAGTTTCCATACAGAAAATGCTACACATTCTGAGAGAAAAAACAGAAGTTCTAATAACATACACCAGTGGTTTCAAAGAGCCTGGGCTACTGTGGCCCAGAAAAGAAGTGAAGGCTAAAAGATAAAGGGCTTCTTTGGGGCCCTAAAACCAAGGGCCTGAGGCCAGCAGAAACACCAGGTTCTACACAGCTAAAAAAGATACACAGATCAGAACCACCAAGCGGTTTTCTTGTTTATTAGAGAAAACCAAAAGCAGGAAGTGTCTGGACAGACTGATGTAGTTAAAAGCCAAGGCTTCAGAGACAGCTGACCTGGGCTGGAGTCCTGGATCTGCCACTTAAATCTTGCAAGACCTTGGCAAGTGGCTCGCCCTCCCTGAGCTTCCAATTCCTCACATGTAAAACAGGTCTGAGAGCATAACATAGCGCAGCCAATTTAGGAAAACATTCAATCCTTTCTTTAAAAGTTAAGCATAAGGGTACCATGTGACCCAGCAATTCTACTCCAAGGTAACCACACAGGAGAAATGAAAAAAAATGTCCATGGAAAGACCTGCACACATAGGTTCTCAGCAACACTACTGACCATAACCAAGAATGGCAGTGTTTACCAATAGGTGAATGGATGGACCAAACTGGTAGATCTACCCAATAAAAAGAAGCAAGCATTCATGTATGATAGCCTGGAAGAAGCCTCAAAGCATTACTCTAAAGCAAAGAAGCCAATCACAGAAGATCAAACATTGTATGCTCCCATGTAAATGAAATGTCCAGCAGAGGCAAACAGAGAGGCAAAAAGCTGATCAGTGTTTGCCTAGGGCTGAGACTTCTGAATGACTGCACACTGGCAAGAAGCTTCTTTTGATATTGCTCTAAAACTAGTTCATAGTGAAGGCTTGACTCTGGAAACTAACTGAAAACCACTGAATTAACCACCCTTAAAATGGGCAAATGTTATGATATGCAAATTAAAGCCCAACCTGTTTTTTTAAAAATAGGGTTTGACTTTCTATGTAACCTCAGAGGGTTGCTGTGAAGATTTACAGAGCTAACATATGGGGAGCAGGGCCTGGTACAAAGTCAGCACCTGATAAATAATCATGAAGATGACAATCAGAATACATAATAATAAGAGGTTATATAAATGTAGAATAATAGAGAATGTGAAAACAACAATTTATATAACTTACCCAGTTTTTATCATATCATTTCATCATTTACCAATTCAATTTAACCCCCAACAACTTTACAAGGCGGGTATATTATTATCATTCTCATCTTTACAAGTGGTGAAAGCCAGGCACCAAGGAGTTAAGTAATTTTCCCTGAAAATGCACAGCTAGCAAATGGTAGAGCTGGGATGTAAATCCGGGAGGACAAACTGCAGTTTGTACACATGTGCCTAGCACTACCTTGTCGCCTACCAACCATCAGCTAGGGATTGAGTTTCTGCTGTAACTAGTGATGAGATGGGGTGCAGAAAAGGCTCACAGATGGCTCCCCAGAGGAGATGCTGGACCAAAACCTGAAGAGTTCGAAGGGTCAGCCAGAGAAAGAGCGCTTCAGATAGAAGGACCCACAAACGTAGAGGGGAGGAGCCGGAAGAGCCTGGAGCTGGCTGACCAATGGGAGGACGACCACGAGCAGTGGGGGTGGGGCTCAGGCAAGTCCAAAGTCAAAGACGTCCTCTAAGGGCAGTGCTGGGCCAGAGAAAGAATTCAGTGCGTTCCCCAGTGCTGCCTGTCTAGGGAACAACTCACATTCCACCAGCAGGTGAGGAAGGTTGACTCAGAGGATGCTGTGAGCTCAAGGGCGCGGGGGATCTGCCCCCACGCTCCCACCCCACTGTGATCTGACACCCCAGCAGCCTCCCAAACACCCGCTCCACCGGCAAGCAGAAGCTGTACCCAGCCAGCCGGCAGCAGCGGGCTGTCATGTTGCCACGAAGTGGAGCACAACACAGCAAGATCGAGGGCTGACTGATGGCAGCCTCACCCACCCACACCAGCCACCAGTGGACCCCAGGGGCAGCTTTCACCTCACCCTGCCCCCAGCTGGGCGCAGAGCACAGGGCTCCAGCCCTGCCATTCTCAGGGCTATCGCCAGGGCCAGGGCACAGCCCACCACCGGGTCTAGCGTTTTTCTCATTTAAATGTAAAACCCTTCAGTCCAGCTCTTCTATTTTTCCACTCTGTCCTAAGCAATTATTTGCATGTGTATATAAAACATTTAGTATGTCAAAAGCAAAAATATTAGACTAATCTCCATGGCCATCAATAAGTAAAATTTCTGGTGAAACCACATTACAGAATACTACACGGCAGTGAAAAGGAACAATGCGAATCTACTGCACCTGCACCTGAAAATATTTCCAATGTACACTGTTGAGTGAAAAGAAAAATGAAAACTGCAGAATAATACATCCAGAATTTCAAAATGTCGTCACTTACATAAAAGTTTAAAAGAAAAAGAAACGTAGCTCTGTATTTCTCCAAGTCCACAAACACATAGATAAATGAGCAAATGCCTGGAAGGAAACACATCACTCTGACATATCATAGAAAAGGGAAGGAAGAAAGGAAGGAAGACTTGGTGCTTTGTAAATATGTTGTTTGATGTGTGTGTGTCTGTGTGTGTGTGTGTGTGTGTGGTGGGGTGTTGCTGGGGATTGAACCCAGGGCTTTGTATATGATAGGCAAATCCTTCTCCTAATAAGCAGTATCCCCAGCCCTTTTCTGGTTTGAGACTGGGTCTTGATAAATTGCCCAGGCTAGCCTGGAATTTGAAATCCCCCTGCCTCAGCCTCCCAAGTACCTGGGATTATATGTGTATTTGATTTCTTCAAGAGGAATATGTTTCTGTGTATTTGAGTTCTCTGAAACTTTAAAGTCTGCAAAAAAATGCAATGAAAAAATGTGTTTAAATTACCACTGTACTGATACAGGGCTCAGGGTAACTTTTCAAAGAGTAACCCTGGATCTTTGCTGGATCTTTTCCAATTCTACCACACCTTCTTGGGGGCACATGTTCAAGACCCCATTTTACAAATCTGAGAGGCTGGACCTGGAGAAGAGGAACAAGCTGCTCAGAGTCACAGGTGGGGCTAGGAGGACTGGTCCCTGAACTCCAAGCACAGTGCTCTTCCTAATCAGCACATGCGACAGTCACTGAAGCAGACGCCACACAGCCAGCACACAGAGCCCCCGAGAAGCCCCTCGGAAGGGGAAGGAGGCTCTGTCAGGGAAGGAGGGCGTAAAGGATGAGTGGGGAGAGAAGAGCTGATGAACCAATGCCTCCGTCAAAAATGAGACATCATGATGAGCCGCCCCCTGAGTGGGATGTGCTGCCACGTCATCTGAGAAAGCACAAGTGGGAAGGAGCCTCAAGGCCACGTCCCTGAGCCTGAGACTTGATGCCTCTTGGGGGGCTGCTCACCCCGAGCTCTCAGCTGAGCTGTTTCCAGTGGAAGAGTTCTGGGAATGGATTTGGGCTCATGTTCCAGAACCCAGAGAAGGAGGCTTGGGACAAGTCACAGAGCCACCACTCAGCTTTCTTTACAATGCGAGGCAAACCTACAAAGCCATGGGGACAGTGATGGAAGCCTGGGTCCTGGGGATCCTGCTCCACCACCTTGGCCAAGGTTCCGAACCTCTCCGAGTCTCCATTTCCTCATGTGTGAAATGACTGTTGTCAAGTGTGGCTCTTGAGTAGGGTGATATCTGGGTCACGGGACCCATAATAATAATATAACCCAATAAAATACAAAAGTATAGGATCCCATACAATCTGGAAACATTATAGGAACATAAACATGTTTACATTTATTTATTCACTTATAGAGGGAAAATGTCCTAGACAGGCCGGGGATTTAGCTCAGTGTTGCTGCCGCCTGTCTCACAAGCGCAAGGTCCCAAGTTCGACACCCAGTACAAAAAAAAAGAAAATGTTCTAGACAACCTTGAGTATGCATACTTGTCTGCATTTCCAGGCTTTATGGACATCCCATGATGATGTAACCATATTATACTAAACTATATTGTACCAATCTAGTGAAATGAACATTGTGATATATAAAACATTTTAACCACGATGTATGAGGACTATGTCTAAGGGAACTTTACAGACATTTTCTAATTTTGTTCACAGCTGGCCCTTACAGCAGATTCGATTATTAAGCCCATTTTACAGGGGTGGAAACTCAGCACAAGGAGTGAAGTGAGTTGCCTACTGGCAAGATTCACATAGGTAAACTATCCGGACCTAGGATGTCTATTGTCAGAGTCTGTGCTATTAACCACCTGCTACACCATTTCTACTGCAGTGAAGACCAGTGAAACCAGAAGGGCACGCAGTGCATGAGGCAAGGGGCCCACCCTGAGGAAGGGCTTAAGAAACCCAAGGTCCTAGGAGTATCTAGCTCTTGGAGGAGAGATACTACTAGATCCAGCTTGTCCCTACTCCATCTAGAGTAGCAATGCACAGGAAGTAGATTGTCAGTCAATATTTGTAGGAGGGAAAGGGAATTATTATGGTATTCGTTAGCCAAAGGCTGGAATCCTTGTTTCCAACAACAAAAATGTCTAAGAAACAAAGCCAAAGTTTTCCCAGGAACACCCACTTGCAAAGACTAAGGTAGGCGGTGCTGCCTGTCCTCGCGAGAGGCCCCACAGAGCCCCTGGTCCCAACCTCTGCCGCACAGACCCGGAATCCAGGCCCTGGCCGGAGGCCCCGCCCCTTACCTTCCTCAGTGTCGTTGCGCAGCGACGCCTCCAGCAGGGCCACGCAGGCCTCAAAGGACACCTTCTTGCGGCGGCCACCCGCGCTGCGCTTCCGCTCGTGCTTGCGCTTACGGTGCTGCAGGTCCTGCTCGTACTGCGCCCACTTCTTCAGCTGCTGGGCCCGGCGCTTCTGGGCG